GATGATAAATAGATCAGTAACCTCGGTTTAACTATCCAGTCCAAGAATGTATCAGATGTGCAGAAGCAGATCCAAGATTGTCATAACTGCGCGCGGGTTTCCAGCAGCTGTAGAATTTCTTTAAAGCTCTCGGTGTTGTTGTAATGCATTCATTAAAAGGGTAAACAAGTTATTGTTACGCTTACATGAAGTTAGGAGGGGGGGGGGGGGGGGGGGTTCATCATTATTTGCTCCTTTAAACTTCACTCCCTCAGTTTGTAAAGCATGTTAAATGTTGTTGACATCAGGAGGGTTATTTTCTCAGACTGAACTAATCTCCTCTCAGAGCCAACCGAAGGAAAGGTCTCGTTTTCACAGGCTGTGTAGATCTTCTCATGACAAATAATCTGATCTTCACGAGTGAAACTGGTGTGACTGTTCCTTCAGAGTTTTATTTTAAGGTGAAGTGTGTAATCCAGGAGTAAATGAGAGTCACCCAACCGCTAACGTTTGCATCACAAGATCTAAAGCTGCCGTCACTCTTAGATCGACTGACAGGGCTTTTATAATATGAACTACAACTAAATCTGAATTATGTTGTGAGGCTGCTAAATGTTTATTAGAAAAAACTAACTATTTTTATGACCAGTGGAGAAAAAACATATTTAATACAAATTTTATATTTAAACAAACAAATTATGGATTGTGGATTAACCACAGGGTCTGAATAAGAAAATAATAATAACAATAATAATAATTCATACTGAGCTGAACTCAGATGGAAAAGGACTGACCTTCGCTCCGACCCATATTCATAACACGCGAGCCACATGTTGTTATGAGGAGAACACAGAAGAGGTCTGGCTTTCCAGAAACTGTATGTACAGTAAGCACATTTGTAATCCTGTAAAAACACAACTTCAGCCGTGTGTTCAAAAATACTTTGAGAATCACAGTGTTTCCCCTGTGGATTTCACAGTCATGAAGGGCAACCAGTCGACTGTGGTTTCAGCGTGCAGAATGAGTGAGACGGGCGGCAGCAGCAGCAGCAGCAGCAGCAGCAGCAGCAGCAGCGGCGGCGGCGGCAGCCCTGTTTTGACAGTAAATGACGTGACGTGAAACTACATTTAATGGCACACGGTGTATTCCAGCTTGGACTGTGTTTTGTTTGGCGTTGGATTTTTGTTTTTCACTGACCTTGAGGCACAATTTCAGTAATATTTGAGAGAGACAAAACTTGTTTTATGTCTCAAACAGAACAGATTTCTGTTGACAGGGCTAATTGTTAAGTGTGTGGTTGCTGATCTCAAGGCCAGAGAACCACTTTTGGTTCTTCCACTGAAATGTGTGTAACTTATTCAGAACCACAGAGTTTTTTCTCTACATTGACACTGCTCCCCGGTCATACTGTACCCATTGTGCACAGTTTCAATGTGCTGAGATTTTCTAATAATAGAATATAAACTACTTGGCAAGCAGGACTGCATTTAAAGATTCCACCTCCTTTGAGAAGGGGCTGGGCTTTGCAAAAGGGAATTCTATGTTTCATTTTGAAGTTATTGGTCCAGTTCCAAGACCATCTAGCCTCCAATGATCAAAGGTTGAGTCAGAGAAAAGCCTAGCGGGAGGCTTATGCAAAAATGTCGTCCCCTTATTGCGAATCGGCCGACATGTTGGAAACCATCGCCGCTCGTTTAAATGTCAATATATCCAGATGCAGTTTGGCTGTGCTTGGTCAAGTTTGAAGTATGCGGATGGAGAAAAAAAAAAAAAAAGAAAAGCTTTGCTGGCATAAATAGAATTCAGAGGGTTTCGAAAGTTGCATTGATTAAATTCCTTGACCATGTTCAAGGTTGATTTTAACTTCCAGACCAAATATCTGCCAACAGTGATGCACAAGTCAAAAGCTTTGGCAACTTATATTGGAAACAGTGCGTTAAAAGTTTTTATAGTTGTTGCTGGGACAAATTTAATTCATGTTGTTGTCTGCAGTTGCTGCTTGTTGCAGGATTTTTCTGTCATCATTCTTACGCAGAGGAGATAGTAAGCAGCCGAGAGAGATGAAGACAAGATGAAGGAACATAAAACATCCCGCAGTCAATTTAGCTTCTTCTCTCACTGCCCCCCCACCCCCCCTAACCCCCCACAACCTCCTCCCTCTCCCACCACCCACCACCGTTCTCCCAGATGCAACGGGATCTTCAGCGCGGCTGATCTAGTATGTTAATGGGTGAATTCACTGGATCACACACGATTCAACGGCAGTGATGGTGTGGCCACTTAAAAGCAGGCGCAGGATGATCCTGACCAGATTCTCCATGATGTCGAGTCTATGCGAGGGGAGGAGACTGTCTGGATCTGTTGGAGGTACTACCGGAGTAGAGTGAAGGGATGGGGGGCGGGGAGGGGGGGAGGGTGGGGGGGGGGGGCTGATAGCATTGCTAGGAATTTAAACAAAAGTATTTTTTTCTCTCTCAAAGCTGCCATCTTTCAGTCTGACGGTTACTGTAAACATCATTCCAGCACACAGCATTATAAGACATGCTACTCCACATTCCTTTGGCGCTTTTAAAAGATGGAAAATTGTCTAAAATATTCTGTGTTTACTGTGTCTGGAAAAACGGAGCATTTACGTCAAAGTGTGTTGTGTTTTAAGTGCTCGAAGGTTAGAAAAAGGTACATCTCAGATCACGTCCTTCACTCTCCACAAATAACGTGAGTTTATTTCTTGTTTGTGTGTGTGTGTGTGTGTGTGTGTGTGTTGTCACTTCTGTGCCACTCACCACAGCTGCCAATTAATCCAATTTCACAAATAAACACGTATCTTGAAAAAAAAAAAACAGATAAAATATTTACTTTCTTTGCCAGAAATACTCATGTAGAATGATGTAACAATATCAATGTTTAAAAAAAGCACCCACTGTGAAATCTCACTGCCGTTCACAGCGATATAAAAAGCCTTGCAGGGATGTTGCAATAGACCTTTCTCAATTTAAAAACCACTGACCTTAAAAGCAGTCTTCACGCTTTGGGTTTGTATATAAAAATGCATACCTTGGCAGTATGCAGAGAAGGGAATGTACTCTATGTCCAACCAAACGCCGCTACCTGCAGCAATCTCTCTTTTAGGCAGTATGATATTCAACGTGCACATCATCAAATTCCAGGACATGAAGGCGCTTTTACCTTTTCTTCAACAGTGCAATAAAGACATAAAATAGATCCTGTTTGTTTTTTTTTCTTTTAAAATATAGTCCTCATTTTATTAACAGAGGCCAAATAAAACTCATCACATTTTATTTACAAAGGGAGGCAATAAATATCTTAATAATAGTCATAAAATTATTTTTGCTTACATTTGTTTAAAAAAAAAAAAAAAAAAAAAAATCATAAATGTGTCATGTTGTTAGTAGCGACTCATACAAAAACCTGCCAGCAGACAGGTGAATACATACTACTGGTGAAAAGAGGCCGGAGTTGGTCGTCAGTGAGAGGAGGAATGGTAGAAGCACAGACTTTTCCCTTTAGGATTCAGACACAAACTCTACCACACGCTGCGAACAACGTTCCCTGAATCCTGGACAAGTTGGGTCATCTGGGGTTTTTTTTTTTTGTTTGTTTTTTTTGTTGTTTTTTTTTTTAAAAGGGAAAGTCTTAATTGTCATGTGGGTTTATGAAGTGATCAGCTGCAGCGTTGCCTGTGTGTGGATCACTGAACAAAACAAGCGCAGGGCTGCACGCTCCCAAAAAAAAAAAGCATCTTTGAGACTTTTCATCCAATGAGAGTGAAAGGAGCGAAGATGAGCTCAGAGAAGAGAAAGAAAAGAAAAGAAAAAAGGATGATTTTGGAAGAAGAAGAAGAAGAAGAAGAAGAAGAAGAAGAAGAAGAAGAAGAGCCCAGATCAAGCTCAGTGTCGACTGAAAGGTTCTTGAGATTAACTGAACCAAGACAGTCAGACTAGGTAAAGATAAACTTAAAAAGAACAAGGAGGTAGAGGAAGTCTTCGTCGCCAACCCCAAAATATTAGCTAGCTCACACTCAAAGAATCAAGGCATCCTTTCCTGGAACAACTGTTTAACACATGCGATGAAGAGCTGTTGGAAAAACGAGTCCAAATGGAGACAAAAGGGATTAACATCCATCTCGCACGTGTGATGAAGCTGGAAGACTCTGTGGAATTATGAATCACATCAGCTGTTATTTTTTTGTTTATATTGGGTTTTCTTTTTTTTTTTTTTTCTTTTTTTTTTTTTTTTTTACTGTTTAAACAAGACTAAAGCCACGGCTGGTGCCTGACTAGTCAAAGCATGTCGTGTTTTAGCTGAATCACAAGCTGCATGGAAATGTCAAGGAAATCACACACAGTACTCGGAGGGTTCAGCGCATTCCAGGAGCCAACGAGTGAAGCTGAGGTTGAGAGACATATGGAAAAAAAGAGAGAGAGAGAGAGAGAGAGAGAGAGAGAGAGAGAGAGAGAGAGAGAGAGAGAGAGAGAGAGAGAGAGAGAGAGAGAGACCTGTAAAATATTGCACTCAAAGCTACACAGTTATCCCGGCAGCACAGTGTCACCTGCGACTGCCACCTCTCTCTCTCTCTCTCTCTCTCTCTTTCTCTCTCTCTCTCTCTCTCTCTCCGTTCCCGTCTCCATGGTGTCTGATTCCAGTGGAAAGTATGGGATCCGCGTTGTCAGGGGCAACACAAACAAAAACCGACAGGTATTCCAATAAATCTCTAGTTGGCTGATTTTTATAACATTGCGTCCGCTCCTGCTTCAGCCCCCACACTGTCAAAAAGAAAGTATGCCTTCAGCTTGCAGTTCAAACGTAGCTGAGGACGACGGCGACAGGAATTCTCTCAGAAGTCCTTTAGTTTATCCAGTATAAATAACATGACAGACACGTTAGCACAATGACATCAACCCAGAAGAATCCAAGAGTTAGGAAATATTCAGTCATCCTGAAATACAAAAATAAAACATCTTTGACTTTTTTTTTTGTTGTTTTTTTTGTTCTTTTTGTCTGTCTTTTTCTTTTACAGAAGTGAAGTCTTTAAGGTGATTCTTTTAAGACAAGAAGCTTGAGATTTTCAGTTACAGTTTGTTTTTTTTGTTTTTTTCCTCCCCCTCGAAGGAAAATTAGTGCTGTCCCATTGGTCCCATCAGTTCCTCTTGGGGTTGGGTTTTAATCGCCGAGCCCTTCGTGTCCGCTTAGTTACTGTGGTGAAACGAAACTCCTCCAGCGGGTCCACCCTGCCCTTTGGCTGGCGCTTCATGAAGTGGACTTCCTGTTGCCTCTGCGTGGTCCGCGAGCCTTTCTTGGGCCGCCCCTTCCGGTTGAAGCCGAGGTACCATCCTTTGTACTTGGCCGACACGAGAGCTGTGTAGTTGTTCTCCAGGAATTCCTCGACAAAGACGCACTCCTGCTTCCTTCCATCGGGCTGAAAGGAGGAAAATAAATTAGGACATTAATTAATTATTAACACAGCAGCATGGCCTCTTGTGTAACTAACAGTCCGGCTTGTTTCCATTGCGTCAGGGCATTGTGGCTCAGAACGGTTCGCTTCTATGACGCCGTTTTTGCATTTTTCAGTTCTGTGTAAAATGAGCAGCTCGTTACATGTTGTTACTTGATGCTATAATGAGAATATATCATGGAAAGGTTAGCTATAAGATACACTTAGACAAGTAAAATGTCATTGAAGGATAAGGTTAGCGTAGCTTGTTTTCACTCACAGTAGAAAAGATTAAACCTAAGGTAAACAGAACTGTTTCACATTTTGGGTAATACGCGTATTTGCTTCCCAAGTTCCACATCAGTCCCATGTCTGTAGGCTAAATGTTTAGCTAATGCTAGGACCTGGTTAGCTGCGGAAACAGGTAGCCTCGCGCACACCCAGGTTGTAGCTTTTCATGAAGGTTATGTGCTGGACTACTTCTTTGCCACGAGCCGTGACTTCTTGGAGTCACTGTTAGCCACTGTTAGCTAAGCTAAGTACTTCCTGACTGTATAGCTTCATAATCGGTAGATAAACACTTTGCAGATAAAGGAGTGGCATCAATCTTCTCATTTAACTCTTAGCAAGAAGATGAATAAGTGTGTTTCCCAAAATGTCGACCTATTGCTGTAAGATATAAAACTATATATTCAATAAAATGTGGCTTCATATTTTTTCAAAAATATGCTGGTGTGGATTTAATTCATTGTTCATGAGATATTAAAGTGATTTATATATTCACATCGAGCACTGATGGATTCTGTTACTGTACGGTACTCATACACGTCACGGCACAAAGTGGCTGTCGCACAATGGAAAAACCTTGGATATATTCTAAACTAAAAGTCTGAAAACATGGTTCTTTATTAGGATTACACCTCACTGTCAACGGCTTTCATGGAGACTTTTTAGACAGTTTGTGGATTATCCAGACTAACCAGATATTGTTTCTGTAGAAAAACAAATTGGGGCGGCAGAGAAAAATAATATCAATAATGTGAAAAGACCCTTTGAAAAGTCTTGATATCAACACTGGAGAGTTTAATTGCTTCTGTCTAAACTTCTGTGATTTATAGTAAAACTAATTGTTATCATTATTCAAGCTGAAAGCTAAAGACATCAATAATTTAAACGTCATTTTATCCTGTTTCTTTTATAAAAAAATCCTACAGTGGTTTAAAGGAGGAAGTCAAAGAGCATTTTTTAAACAAATGAGGCCCCTGCAACTAAAACTCAAAATGCATGTTCCTAACAGATGACCATGATGAGAGAGTGAAAACTTGTGTGAATTGCTGCAGCCCCACCAACGCTGACAGCATGAGTTATTAACGCAAGAAAATCACACGTGTGCCTCACGAAGAACAGTATACGTTTTCAAATATTAACTTCTTTTCCATATCGACGCGGCCCGTCCACAGAGTCACATGCAGTCACATCCTGCGCTTGTGGCCACCTGGTGTGACTAAGTGATATAATTGCAATGGCATTCCTCCTAAGTGACCATTAGTCTCTCAATGCATTGTGGTGATTGCAGTCCGTAATTGACTGATCGAGTGTCAAAGGAGTAGGCCGATTACGTAATGGAAGAATGGCTGTGAGTTATCAAAGGGGTTTTGTTAGGGTGTACAAAAACAGCAGGAGAAAGCAGATCTGAGGCTGCGTTCAATTCAGCCTGGATTAAGAGCTGCCTTAAAAATATTCATTTTGGTATTAGAAAATGTGCAGTTCAGTCTTGCCGCTGGAAATATTGAACTTTGACCGAAGGATTGGTCGTTTAAAAAACCGACACTCACCCTTCCGACTATTTTGCCTTTCTCGTTCATGCAGATGTAATGTTCGCTCTCTTTTCCTTTTATTCGGATGTGGCTCCCAAAGGTTTCTGTCTCAACCACAAGAAGAGCTGGAGAGAAAAAGAAAAAGAAAAGAAAGACTCTGTCAAGGGCATGTATAAATCTTTTTCACTCACATAAATATGGCTTAAGGATGTCCATACATTTAAACAAAACTGAACAGAAATTCCCAACATGGTCAAGACTTGAAAAGGATGTAATTCAATTTCCAGTCCCGAGAATGATCCCTGCAAACTGGGGTATTTAAAAATCAAAGAGCTAACTCCTAGCTATTTGTGCACTGATGAAATTGCTACAGTTTGTGGTAATTAAACTAATACTTTATGAATACGTTGCCAGTTTTCTTCATATACATCACCACAAAGCTGTCAACCACCGTTAGTATTAGTTGTACCGGAGATTAAATTCCCTTTAATCTCATTAAGGATTGTGGGAAATAATTGATCTTATTCATTGAAAATAAACAATTTATGAAATTCTGTAAGAAACAAAATTAGTTGAATTATGGGTCTCCAGAGCAAATAACTAAAAAGGTATATGACGTGTAATTTCACTTCACTGAAATATCACCAAAACAACAACAACAACCACCGTCACGTCATCCTGACACAGCAGTAATCCACCCCAAAGACGTATCCCGGCGGCTCTTTTTATTTTTCGATCCCCACCCACCCACCCCGGACCCAAACGTTAACCCCTGCGAGGTCACCTTTGTCTCTGCTCGCCCCTCGACCAGCAAGGAGATCTGCCAAAACGTTTGTGGAGCGGTTATGTGCCCCTCAGGATTAGGTTTCAAGTTCCCTTTAGTCTGTGCTCACTCAATCAAAAAGTTAAGATGATCCATTTGTTTAACACACAGGGCCATTCAGTAGCGCTCAAGGGAGCAGAGGAAGAATAGACGAAGGGGATGGGATGGGCTCGGGGGCAAGAAGTAACTCCCCTCCTCCACCTCCTCCTCCTCCTCCTCCACCTCCCCCCACAACCCTAAAATCCAACCTTGGAAGTAGGAAACCTGTTTTAAAGGTGAAGCTGAGGAAAGAGAGAAGGTATTCCTCCTCTAGTTTTGGGAGGTTTCTTTGTTCATACGTCTTATTTGGGAGCAGAAGAGCCACATTTCTGACTTTATCGCCAGAAAGATCTGTCTGAACCTTTTTTTTTTTTTTTTTTTGGGAGTCCTTACGAAGGAAAAACCATCCAACAACACTGGTTTTCCCATGAAGTTAATGATATTTTAAGTGATGATTCCAGTCTGCAAGTCAACTCAGGAGTCATTTGACAACACTTTGGCCGCCTCACTCTGAGTGGGTTTCGCATAAAGACCCAAAAATTCAACCTCAGGTATGAAGCTTCGACCCAGAGCATCAGATAAAACAATATTTCCCCTCCCTGCTGTGAGTTGTCCTCTGTCCGTGACCCCGGCCAAACCCTATCTTAACTTCTCTCAGAGTAAACCACTGATGGTTTGATCTTTGACAACCAGCAGTCTGGCAGCTGCAGGCTTCGGCAAAACTTAATTAAATCCTTGAGTCATAGCTCCATTCAAACACAAACACTGAGGGAAATCACGCTGTCATCAATACCGCTAACAAGTGGCATTTAGTTTACAAAGGAGGGAATGTGGTTACTTTTATTTACAGTGTAAGCACTTCAAAACCATAATCCACATAATCCACGAATTTAGAAATCTGTAAATGTACGAACACTACACTTCGATAATCTCTCGGAAGCTGTTTGAGTGCAGGAATCTTAGCAGACGCCCTGTGGTGATGATGAAATAACAATAATAGAGTCTGAAATATGAACAAGGATGAATTTATTTGATCAAAACACAATGCTTAAGATAATATACGTGAGTCTGTGAGTGATCATTGTCATTTTCTGTATATTAACTTTCCTGTATAAATACTTGATCTACTTTGTACGGTGTTAATGTTCACTGCAGCCTGACTGTGGTTTTATGAAGCTCCATTTCTTCTCCTTTCGAGCCAGTGTTTTCCTATTTGTGCATCGGTGCAGTATGAACAATGTGGGGGCCACGGGAGCGTTTAGCGACCTGACTGCGGGGTCACCTGTCAAAAAACGTTGAAAAAAACTCCTGCTTTAATTCCAGATTGCAACTTTTATCAGTTTAAAAGCCTCTGCGGTGACACACCACCTGCTCCGAGTGGACAACAGGCATCGGTTACAACCGATTGTTCTGGAAAAGGATTGTTCTAGTTGAATATGCTATGCTAATACCTATGCCCCCCCCCCCCCTTTAGCTGCACAGATATGGACTTGAAAGCGATATATTTTTCCTCTGTGGTGGTTTTTGTGGGACTTCTTCACGGAGCCGCAGTGAATGAGAGTGGATTAGAACAAGGAGAGTATCTTCCTGTGCATTATTAGTGAGTGCAAAGGAGTTCACAGGTGCCAGGTACTGCAGCTGGATGGGGAGGAGGAGGAGGAGGAGGAGGAGGAGGAGATGGGGGACGGGAGGAGGGGCGGAGGGTAGAATTGGCAAGGCCTCATGGGAAAAATTGGATCTGCTTCCACTCAAGCTCTAACAAGCAGTGAGGAAACTTCGCCTCGGCGCATCTGTGACTGAACACACTCACTCAGAGGCATTCAAGACCAGCAATTTTAGAGCCGTGAGTCAGCTGTTATAAGCAAAATATCTGCAGGAAGGCACAACGCAAATTCTTCCGCCTCGTGTTTGTGCCACTGCATCAAAGACAGCCTCAGTGACCGTCAATTTACTCATCTGCCTTTTGTTCTGATCTGAAGCGGTGAACAAGTCTGCACAGAAAGTGAAGAGGTTGGCAGAGGTATGACATTGTGTCTGAAAATACTCAATTCAATGATTTAAAAAAAAACAAACACTTTTTGTCATCTTTATGCTTAATATCTCACAGCTGACACCGGGTACGTTCACACTGCTAGATTGTACCAAATCTCTATGGTTGCCCATCGCAAACCACTGTGTTCTGAAGCAAATTTCTCTTGCCCTTTCAAGGACAATACAATTTCACTGATTTGCATTTGCCAACATGGACAATCACAGGTTCATTACTCACAATAATACTTCATAATGCCACAGGATTGCATCCTAAATGGCCTTAAAGTAATCTCATAATCTAAAACTCAAACAGCAACTAAGGAGAATATTTTGCAGAAAGTCAAACCAACAAGTCGGTTTTGGTCCATATTAGGTATTCTGACAAAAATTCACATTGTGGGCCTACAAATCCATCAAGATGAAAAATAGACTTGCTCTGGATACCCAAACACTGTAGTAAACATCCTCTGCAAGGTCAGCAATTTCAACATGTTTTCATCCACCCCAACCAGTAGTTGGTGGCTTCCAAAAGTCACCATCCACTCCTGCCCAAGCCAAACACAGAGCATGGAAAACCACCCCCAAACAATGGGTAGTAAACAGCCCAGAGTGGCTGGAGGATATGGCTGAAGAATAAACCTCAAGAAGCATCAGAAGCTCAGCTGGTAGCTGGTGGTGATTTCTCATCCTGTTTTTAACAGACTAGCTAAAGTGTCAGGTGAGATGCACAGGAGTTCTCCCATACCATACTTGCCCCCATCATCTCCGTTGGCGTTGACTTTCTTCCCCAGGATCTGGACGTGCTTCCCCGTGGTTCTGCTGTACAGCTGGTAGATCCGGACCTGCTTCCGGCTCAGGTCGTCCGGGTTCCTGGTGTGGTTCTCGATGTAAAACCTGAAATCAGCAGAGCTCTGCTGGGACTCCTGCACGGTGGTGTGAGACAGGAGGAAGCAGAGAGAGAGAGAGAGAGAGAGAGAGAGACAGAAGATGAAGAAACACAGAGAGAAGGAGAGACAGTGAGAGACCGTCACGACACAGGTGTTGATAGTAATGTGTGCTGTTGCTTTTATGGGCTGTGTCAAAAAAAAAATTGTGCTTCAGGGGCTAAAAACTGAGACAACAACCTGGAAATTATGACTGTGGCATTTTAGTGTTTCTTTCCTCGCTTTCAACTGCCACATTTTACATGCGTTGCATTTACAAGCTCCTAGTTATCCTCCAAGATGTGTTAATGAAGTATAAATCCCACAGAACAAGTGTAAAGTCTATGGTGCAGCCTTCTGTTGCTTTCTATTGAGAGAGCAGTATACTATGTGCCCCGGGCGATATTGAGAAACCTGTGCTCCATTTCCACAAGCAAGCAAGCCACTAGCAATTATACACCTGAAGCATCCAGACCTGTTGCACTATCATCAAACAAATATCTGCCTGCAGGCGAAGCAGGGTCCATAAATTAGGAAACGCAGCAGGCGGAAGACAAGACCGAGATGGCAAGAGGCACCTTGAGCCACAAAAACACTCATGTAGAAGGAATTTTTTAGATTAAATTGTACCAATCTGCCTTTGAGAATCCACTAGCCGAATGTTTACGAGTCACCTTAGACCTGACATAAAAACCTGCGGAAATCGCCGACTCCATCGGCACGTCAGAAAAGCAACTGTGTCACCCAACATGTGGAAGAGCGAGAGGAAAGGTATACTTTCAGAAGCCCTGGAATCTCTGTTCACGCCAAGATCCCATTTCCCCAGCTGTATGGTGTGGTAATTGCACAGTAATGGCTTTTTATGTGGCTGTTCTCAGGTGGCTAATTATATACACATTACATACCCCGAGTCCTTGTTATTCTAACTTCAGTAAATTAATGACATGTAGCGAACATGATGGGAAATCTCGGCCACGGTAGAAGAAAACTTAATCTCAAAAGAGGAAAAATAAACTTTTGCAAATCTGAGGGGCAAATCCTGGCGAGGCTCCTGACGTGGTTCCTCTGAACAAAGTGTCAATTCGGGCGCCTAACCCTGTGAAGGACATGGTCAACGAAGGTGCGTCCTTCAGAAAAACCCGAGGAATGGGTCGGACCTATGCTTTCCCTCCGAAAGAGACGGTTTCGCCTCACAAGAAACCAAAGCTAATGACGTGTTCAAGCATCAACCTGCAAAGTTGTTGAGTCAAAAAAGTTTACTCCAAAAAAGACTTTGTCCCTCAAATGCCCCATAGACTGTCAGACATGGCATTAGGCAGCGTTTCTCAGCCACATTTGGAAGAGCCTTTGCCTTGTTATGACGTATTCGGTCCAGAAATGTGGACCTCGGAGAATCCAGCCCCTGAACTGGGACACAGCTTCTGTATCTTGACGTTTAGGAAACACGCCCCGTAATGTTACTTTTGGCACCAGGCAGTGTTGAAAATGAGAGGCCGGGTATCAAAATGCATTACCTACTGATGCAACAAATTTGCGGCGTTAACTTCAAGGCATTCACAACCTGTTGGGAACTTTAAAATGTCGGCGTCTTTTCTACCTGCTTAACGGGATTTATTATTTAGGAAATCGTTTTTATGGCCAATATTTCTTGGGAACAGCAGATTATGGGTTTCTCTCATAATAATTTCTCTTTTTTTTTCCAAGAAAAGAGGTGTCAAATTTAGCTATGGCTCTATTGACTGAAATTTTCTCCCATAGTTCCTAGTCCAACAGGTCACATTTACTCTAACATGCAGCTGACATAATATGACAACAAAATGAATCAAGGCTACAACTCTCTGGAGAACTACCGTCGCCCTCAACCGGTTCGTCAATCGTCTAAACCCAACCAGGACCGGGACTCAACCAAGACATAGACAGTTTTGCTGCACGACGAGGCACGTTCAAGTCAGATCAGGGGACTGATAGTAACCCTGTGCAATCGATGTAATTCTAGACAAGCATTTGTCATGTCCAACACACACGTCTGTGACAGATTTGTTTGCTGTCTTACACAGTCTGTGTTTAGTAGGTGTTTCATTTTAAAGCAGAGCTGTTCACACGAGCAGCCGTCCTCCTAAAAGACTTTTTATTCAAGGAACAGGACGTTACAGTAACAGTCAAACTGTATGAATGACAAAATGCAAATCCAAAGATGTTGCTATAAAAGCAAGAAGCTGGATTACCACTCAAAAAAAAAAAAAAAATACACGCCGATTTAAAATTAAACATGTGTGCACCAGCAAAGTGTTCACCCCAGACAAGACACTAGTGTGTTGAAAATAACACATCCACTTAAAAAGTCAAACACTGGCATCATCATGTTGTCAACTCTCTCTCTCAAAATGAACCTCAAAGCTGACGAGCAAACACACAACAAAACATGGCCTAACTGGGCTGCTGAGGGATTTATCCCAAATCTCCCCCATCTCTAAACAAACATAAAAGTGTGTTTGGTAGACAGTTGCATTTCGCGTCGAGGGGGAAAGGCAAGCCTAAGCACATGGTTGAGGTGAACAAACCAGCGACAAAAGTTTTTTATCACGCCGTCTCCTTTCTTCAAAGACATAGCATGAAAACGGATATGGTTGAAACTTCAAAAAGTCTGGTGCTCATCTTCACCGAGGAAGCTTAGTTGTCGCCTCCATCTAAGATACACCGTTTTTATCTGCTTGACATACACACACACAGACGGGGTCAGACAGACACACAAACAGGGAAAAGACGCACATGTTGGCAGTGCATTCGAAGTTAACATCCAACTGTGGTTACTTCTTTTGTTTTGTTCCTTGTACAGTCACAACCACAGAGCCATTAACTATTAACAGTGACATGGAGAGGCAACCTGACAGGAAGATAAAGGGCTATTCCTGCATTTTTATTTTTATTTTTTAGCTTGATTATTAGGTCACAATGCACTTTCTTTGTTTAACAAATGCCTTTGTCTATAATCTGACTTTTTCTGAAGCAGAATAAACAACCAAATCACAAATTATAATAATCAAAAACTGGAAATATCATTCATCAGTCCACTTCACACTTCTGTTGGGCCACAGTCTGCATGACTATGTCTTACATGTGAGGAGTGGTCAGTCGACACTATAGCTTTGTCTGTGCCAGCTCTGTTGGAATAATCAGAGCACACAGACTTATATAACATTACATTTTCCAGTTTTTTAGATTTGGGTTGTTTTTTTTATTTATTTATTTATTTCTGAGACACTTCCTTTACAATTCTGGAGAATCCTACAGATGTATTTCAGTTATTTTAGCTAACAGTTCCCTGACCAGGACAGAGTGATAAATGTGCATTAAGTGAAAAGAGAAAGAAACAAATAGAATTGTGTAACTGATCAAATGTATTTGACACAGTTTACACAGAGTTTTATTTGCCCCAAAAGGTCAAATCCCAACTCCCCATCTTGGTATGATTCAGTGTTCTCAGACAAAAAAATAAAAAATCTTTTTTGTGACCTGTTAAAGACATAATTACATAAAACTACTACAATTAAAATGTTACCAACTGTGAGATGCTGATGTGGGAAGAAACAGCTGAGAAATGATGCCTGACCAACTTTTTTTTATTATTATTTTATTTTTACTATCGTGTTTTAACGTCTCGGATCATAACGCTGAGAAATTAATTTAAAACAACAAGCACGTGGAATATTATGATCACACACGTCATAGCAATAAAGCGATCAGATAGCTTTATGAGTGAAGGAGCGTGCTCTCCGCATCTTCTCGCTCAGTCAATTAGGTGAGTGGATGCCTGCAAATCATTACTGTTCAAAGTGAGACGCAACTAATAAAAAAAAAAAAAAAACCGAGGCAACAAGCGCCAAACGAGCCCATCTGTTCAAAGAACAACTTTTAACCCCGGGGATCAAAATATCTATTACACAATTCTGCTGTAAAATACTGAAACTGCTACTTGAACTCCAGATTAAAAACAACAGGTTTGAATTTTCTTTTTAATTTTTTTTTTTTTTTTGTTGTTGCCAGTTTGATTGTGTTGATTGCAGATTTTAGGCGATTAATCCTGATGCAAAACAGCCGATACGCTTCAGATTGTCGTTTTTCCAAATGCCTGAATTGTTTATTACGCTTCTTTATCACGACATAGCGTTAGTCTGTCTGCATTGAATATTTAATACGGATCTCATTGCAATAATTAGGTTCTATTTTTATCTCCTCTATCATGCCTCAGCAACGCCGCTGTAGTACTGATGCTGGGAACTGTAGTGTCTTCAGAGTATTCAATGAGCTAGGTTACATTTATAGATCTTTTTCATTGTATATCAGTATAATTTTACTCTAATCTTCTGTCTCTTCAGTAAATCTGTTGCACTTTGTTATCACCCCTTTTATTTGTTTGATACTTGTATGATATTTTTCATTTATTTTGGCGTAATAGGTCTATTCTTCGAAAAGTATAAGCCGAGTTTGTTTTCCTTCAGAAGCCGATTTAATGTGGATTTAATTGAAACAGCTCCTTTAAATATTTTAGGGGCTATCCTGAAAATAACCTATAGCTACCCATCATCAGCATTATTGACACTGAAAAGCTGCACAGACATGCAAACACACACATATACACACACACATACATACACACACACACAAAAAAAGGAGTTGAACGAAGGCGTAAACATACCTGTAGCTGGAAATAGAGTACCAGAAAATGTAAACACCTAAGTGGAGAGAGAAGACGAGAGAAGGGAGGAGGGGAGTGAATCACACAGGCAATTACATGAAGTATAAACGCAGCCTACCTGAATGACAGCAAAGCGCAAATATGAAGCTTTTGGCGACTTCTATTGGTAAGAATGCATGGATTTCTATGTGCAAAATGAAAACGGGGATGTGGAACACTTACAGGTATATGAACCTCGAAGGCAGCAGAGACATCTTGACTTGCAGAAATACACCTGAAATACACCTGCTTCCACAGATTTAGGGCCCCAGGAAAGGTTGGCGAAATCGCCCCCCTCTCTCTTGTCTCTCGCTTTCGCTCCTCTTGCGCGTCCTTTACGCACACACCTCCGGGGGTAAGTAGGAGATTGAATCCCAGTGTAAGGATAGATCGCCGGAGAGCAGTAGCAGAGTCACGGAGTGCAACATTAGGTGCTTCCTTGTTGGGGGTGGGGGGTGTGGGGGGGGTGAATTATCCAGAAGATTATTTTTCTCAGCTCAGTCTCCTCAGCTCCTCGAAATCCCGCAACGTCTCCGTAAATCGGTGCCAAGCGTGCAAAGGATTCAGTGTTCGACCTCTCCAAAAAAAAAAAAAAAAATCTCCTCGTTTAAAAAGAATATCCTTCGAGTTTTGCACACCTACAGCCTAACCGTCCCACAATCCCAATCCTGCTGCTCCAGAGATCACAGGCTCCTCAGCTCCGTCCGTACCTGCGGGGGATTCACACACCTTGCATGGGTCATTTTATTCTACCAAGTGCTGCGGAGGAGAAAAAAAAATAACAGCGGTGGATAATAAAAACGCCCTTCCACCGAAAAAAGAAAAAGAAAAAAAAAAAAAAACAAGTCGCTAAAAAAGTGGGCAAACAAACTTATCCAAGCATACAAAAAAAAAAAAAAGTTGTGTTTTTGTGTGGAAATCGCAGTGGCAGCAGCGGCAGCGGATCCCTGGAGAGGCTTTTTGGGGGCTGATGATGGCGCAGCAGTGCCTGTCAGTGGTGTTTGTGCGTCTGTGGCTTGAGATTTGGGCACAGAGAGGCTTTTTTGTTGTTGGTGGGTGGAAACATGTCAGCGGTTTGCACCTGATAGGGTAATCTTGGAGAGACCATCAGCTTGGAGAGGGTTTTTTCCTCTCGGTGGGCAAAGCGCAGCGCAGAGCAGAAGTAGAGCAAGGAGATGAAGAGACTTTTGCTTTGTGTTTTTTTTTGTGTTTGTTTCTTTCCAGTTGTAATTTTTCAAGTTTGGGAGAGGATTTAATTGATATGGACATGGCAACCTGATTTAAATGACCTGCATCTAATTGGATATGAACTATATTTTGTTTATTTATTCATTTATCAGTTTGATTGGACCAAGTTTTCATTTAATTTAACGTTTTACTTTTATATGATTTACAAAAGGGCCTATTTATTATTATTATTATGTTATTATAATATCATTTTTACATTGTTACCGTCAGTGACAAATAAACCGAGTTGCTGTTGTAGCTGCTACAGAAACTGCTTCCCTCTCTGTGCTTGTTAAACTGCTGCTGGTTTGTGGATTGGCCCCGACTCTCCCAGACACCCATTCAAATGCAGGTTGTTGTCGACCTCTTTTTTTTTTTTTTTTTTTTTTTTTCAATAATGTGCTATAACTTATCCCGCATTTAAATGAAAGAGAGGTGTGAATGTGTTTACGAGCGCTTCAGAGCTGGCAGCAGTAAAGTGAGCCCACATCCCTGCTGCCATTATAAAAAAAAAAGAAAAGAAAACCTTTGTGGTTCGCCTTTATTGTCCCATTAAAACTGGATCCTCGGCATTCCTGCCCCATTGATATTCAAAATGATTCAAAATGATTACATACATAACTTCCCATGTTGGGGATTTCAAAGGGCCTCCTGTGGTGAGGTTAGTGGGAAATGAGAAGAAGAGTGTTTGACTAAGAGCTGCAGCTCCTGATCAACATAAGGCAAACAGACACAAAATAAACAAAAATCAATTATATTACGGGGAAAAACATTAATTCAAGGCTTTTATTTAGTGTTTATGGTTTATAAGGACAAACAGAATCACACAGACGTTATCTTTCTTCTTTTTTTTCCCTGTGCGTACGAATGTGGATAAAGTGGGTTGATGTGGGTTTAACCAGTGATTCATGGCTGTCTGCCTAACAAGAAGGCTTGATCCTGTCAACCACAGTGCACTTTAATAATCCCTGTAACACAACTGAGGTATAATGTCATTTAAAGCATGACTAATTTAGCCTTGTCTGCCTTAGGGAGGGAAATCACAGCAAAATGGAGCAAATAGTAATTATCCACAAAAGGTAACTTCTTCACAAACACAAGGCTGAAGGTGCGTTTGATCAGATGAGGCTCACATTAGCTGCTGCTCTACGCCGATTCAGATTTCCCTGGAAGTCCAAAAATAAAAGGCGCCTGACAGCTGATTTAAAAGAAAGCGGCACGATAAACAACAATCACCACACCGACTGTGATGGAGCCAGCATTGTGGAGTCACTCATCGCCTCTTAAGCACATGCTTGTGACAAACTTCTCGAAGCATGGCCATAAATCCGCAACTGAGAAAGGAGAGAGCAGCGGCGGGCTTGGATGTGGCCACCTGTGAGTCACAGGGAGGAGGAAACATATCGCTGCTCATGGCAAAGAGGAAGGCCCCTGTTTTTTTTCCTAGGGGACTTTTTTTTTAATCATATTTTGTGTCTTAAGGGTATAGGAATCAGCAACGCCTACAAGACAATACTTTGATGAGTTTTTACAGCTGTTTGGATTAACAGTTGCTTTGGCAGCTTAAACAATCAGGAGTCAGAGGGAGAGACTTCAACGCAAAATAATATGTGACACCAAAGAAGGCAAAGTAGTCAAAACCTTTTCTTGTCATAACTACACACAAAGCGATTTAACCTCAGGTCCCCGTTGAACTTGATTGGCTGTGTCTTGCGCTGTCTCTCATTAGGACCCGCTCATGTGAATCTATATCTGTCTCTGTTTCATTTTCGAACGCTGTTGAAGTTTTTCTGCACCAAAACCCGCAGGAGAAACGACCCGTGCAGCTGTTACACGCGGAGAGCGAAGTGACAGGTACATAAACAAATTCCCTCCTCTGTAGGACACGTCGCCGGCTTAAAGGATTGAGTCACACAAATTATATTAAAAAAAATAAAATGTTTTCTACATCATAGAGCACTGTCATCTGGCCGTGCCTTTTGTGTTTATTAGGCTCTGGGACTGGAACAACTAAAGTAGTTCCAGTGAAAACTGTCGACAGTGTGTTCTGCAGATTGTCCGGTGTAACTGTTTTTGCTGTTTAATTTTTTAAATGTAATTTTGCAATGCTTTGAGCAGCTTGGAGGAAATGCCATTCGCCTCTATTGTAATAGCGCTGGCAAAAACTCGAAATCCAAGCAACTAAAATCCAAACAATCTGCATGACAAAACAGAATTAGAAGTGGGAATTATTTTTAGTGATTTGGGTGAATTGACCCTTTTAGAGGGAAGGACTCTAGATGTAGATGGCAACAAATACATTTTCACAACATCAGTCGAAGGAGTTGCTGCTGCTACAAATTGCCAGCTGACACTATTCGAAAAAAGTTCAAAAATTGCCTGATAAAACAGCGAGAATTAATCAAATGCAGGCTGCCGCTGGTCGAGCAGAACAAGAGTGAGCTTTATGAATGGGGAGAGCTGTTTCAGTCCGGTTTCTGAGGCTGAGGGGAGGGTGGGGTGGGTTTGGGGTGGAGGGGGAGCCACTCAAGAGTTGGGATAAGGTTACCCACAGAGATTAGCTGACAAGAGTGAGGGAGTGAGAAAAACAAGCAAGCAAGTTAAAGGTCTTAGTTTACCTGGCTTGCTGTGCTTGGCAGCCAATGAAAGTGCTTTGAAACCATAGATTCAAACGGTGCCTTCAGTGACTTCCCTGCAGCCACATTTGCCTTTTCTGTTTCAATTCTCATGAGAACAAACTTAACTTTTAAGTCGAGAGCCGCAACGTGGCAAATGATGTTATTTAGATGAGTCCAGGACTCTTTTCAAGCCTTTGAATTTGAACCTCGCCGCGTCCATGCAGCTATGCGTGTCTGTCCGCGGCGACGGGACTGTGGGAATGTCAGCGAGGATATCTCATTGAAGCTAAAGGAGGAGGCATCTGAAGGCGGGCAAGCGCTCAGCGGTTCAAAGGACCCTAGCAGGCATTTAAGGCTTGACAAAAGAACTTGGCAGATCAGTAAGTGAAGCCCAGTGTACTACATTAGTGTCAGGACCCCCTCCGCGTCCCTCCCACTTTGCACTTTCATCTCTGACACGGACATATTGACTTAAAGGAAAGGAGGGGTGCCAGGGCCGCGAGGGAGGGCTGGGTAGTTGTGGTGTGTGTGTTGGGGGGGGTGGGGGGTGGGGTGCATGTGTCCCATTCAATTCCCAAAGGTGAGGCGACTGATGCAGAGGGGTGACCACCGACTCAAATGAGCCACCCAGAAGCCTTTTTAAAAAAAAAAAAAAAAAATCTAGAAGTCACAGGCCGACGAGCCTGTGAGACCTAAACAGGACGGCCCTCTTCCTCTCATCTCCCTGAAATCACCCTCACTCCATTAGTATACGACGACCCCCTCCCCCGCCTCTCCAAACACACACTCACATCCCTTTTCACACCGCCGACCGTGCTGCCCCCCCCCCTCGCCCACTTGTTTTTTTTTCTGTAAAGGCTACCGAAGTCCAACGGCTAACGTGGGTTCAGGTCGCAACGGGGTCGCGACACCTTGACATTGTGGAAGGTGACAGAGAGAGGAGCCAGAGGAGGGAGGGGTGCAGCTAGCCAGCTACCTCCGAGACCTTTCAAGTATCACCTGAAGGAGAGGGAGGAGGGAAAAAAAAAAAAAAAAAAAAAGCGGGAAGTGTTTTAGTAATTTGTCCCCCGTCACACGTTGTTTGCATGGAGTCATTAAGGGCCATTTAGGGTTTTTGCCTTCAAGGGAAGAGGCCAGAGAATTTTTTGGGTTTGCGGGCATCTCAAAGGGGGGGGGGGGGGGGCCTTGGGGAGTGAGGGGTGAAAATTAAAGCGTCGCTCTTCAACAAATCATCTCTGAGCACTGCGGTGCACGCAGAACATATTAATGTTTCCATTAACTTCAGTCGCCTGTTTGACATTAATGATGATTTGCTCCGTCGCAGTCCAGCAGGGAGTCTAAAGTTGTCCAAAAACATAAACAAATGTAGGGGCTGTCTTGTTGCTAGTTGCTAACACATGCAATAACTTTATGTGACTGCATGCATTT